TAAGTGGTAGTCTATAAATAGCTTGTGACCCCTGCTTTTGAGAATGATATGTAAATGAGACTCAGCGTTCTCACAACGATGGGCAAAACACAAAGAAGAGACAGTGCTGAGAATAGGATTCAAGTGTCCCACTCCCACATCCATCCACTGATCTATGTCCTTCCTAGTCTACCCAGCAGCAATTAAAAGTGTACTTAAAGGAAAAACCAGGGATAATTATACCAAAACTATTTGTCAGTTAGCAAAAAGAAAATACAGTACTTACAATATAAAATCCAATTTAACAGCTCTGAATAGACTGCCCACACCCACAATTAACAAGTATTAAGTTCCTACTATGTGCCAGGCTTCTGAAAGGCAGTAGGGTCCTGACAGAAGACAAAGCAAACCCAGCCTCTCATGGAGCCCACAGCCCAGTGGGTGAGTTTCGTCTTCTTACAACAGCATCCTGCTTGGTGCTAACAGCACACAAATTACACGGCCACATGGCCAACAAAGAGACACCATCAAACACTGAGGCTCTTTCAATTACTGAGCCAAGTTCTTCCTGGACTCTTTGATGCCCCTTCTGGGGGCAAAGGGCATGGGGAAAGCTGCTGTTGAACTCACAAGGTACTGTACAGCAAAATCAAGGTCACAAACTGTACCCTTAAATAAGTAACAACACTTTTCCTACTATGCAGCCAAATATCCAGGGTGAGGACCTATGATGGCCTGTGCCCTAGACTATGCACAGTGTGCTAGTATTGAAGGTCTGCTCAGTGGCACATGTGCTCCTCTCATGCTCCAGCCCTGCATGGATTCGGACCCAGCTTCCATCTGCATTCAGCACTCACACGTCACACTGAACTCACAGCTTTCAGTACCTCTGCCAGGACTACAAAGTCTGTTCTGCAAACTGCACGTCTGCTCAGCAACCTCTTTAAAACAGTCAAAATTAATCTTAGACCAACATTTGAGACAGAAAGAAAAATCTATCTGTAGGACTTGCCAACATCTTCAGCTTTGACACGGATGGGAAAGGGGCTGTAGGAAAAAGAATCCACCATGGACCAACTGCTTGTCATCATACACAGCACTCTGCACAAGTTGGCATAATTTAGGGGCAAGAATATGGGACAACTACGGCAAATACCTAAGGCTCATTCCAAAAACCAATCAGGACAGTGTTCAAGAAATACAAATAAAGCACAGTGCCACACACTTCCTGGGAGATGGTTTTATCACAAACTTACAAATAATCCAAATAAACAGTTTCAAGCATGTTATCCTTCTTGAAAATAGTATAGAAGCATCTCTAATTCTTTACAAGCCACACAATTCTTCTAGGACTACAAGAAGAACTACGAAGCTTTCTAAAATTCCAAGAAAAATTTCCCCAGGTCCTATCTGTCAGAAATACACACACACACACACACACACACACACACACACACACACCCTCTTCTGGTGGGTACTGCCTGTCTTGGTGGATCCCAAACCATCACATACACCATCTAATCCTGCTCTAACTTAACTTTCAGGTACCACAGTGAATGCCTTCAACCTTGCACCCTTCACCAAGGTTCATGGTATGAATGCTGAGGACAGAAGCAGGAGCAACCCCTGATAACGCGGATTTAGTATGAGTGACCCTGACAAATGACAAGCAACCCCAAATCTGGTGGTGATCATTAAGAGCCACTGCTTCCTGGCTAACACTGGGTGCACAGTTTGTGTGGAGCACTCAAAGGCAGCACCAGAGCAAGCCCATTCGCAGATTTGGATCCACAGAGCTGCAAGACGTAGAGCCAATACCAAAAGCCAGGTCTCAGAGATGCCAAAACTCCTAAGAAACGAATGGGAATCTCGTCCTTGTGGCGGGAATATAGAAGAATCAATTGGTTACATCAGGCTGGGCTCCATGCTGCTTAGTTGTGATGCTCTAATTGCCAAGAGCACGTGAATTCTTGTAGTTTGGGGACTTTCAGGTTTCAGGCTTGATGGGATTTAGTGAGGGAAACCCCAGCCTAAAAACGAGACCAACAATTTCTGGGGTGTGAGGAGTCACCTGCACACACAGACACCACTGTTCTGTCCTCTGACCACCAGTACACTACTGTCCACCCAGGTCTATGATTGAGCCATCTCTGTATCATCCCACTGCATGCAGTTTTGCATCCTCTTTGTGCTCAGATAAAAATCTCCATGCCTTTGTCCTCTGTCCCTTATTAATTAGAAAAGGTCCCTTTCGCCTCTTCTCTCTACAAGGGATTCTGCCTCCTGGAGGTACTTAGGGATTTCCACTTGATAAAAAGGGCAGAATGCAAGACAAGTTGGCAGATAAAAATCCCCTGTGGTCTGGAACAAGGTCACAGAGAAGTCAGTGTGAGGAAATGAAGCTTGCCTGGAAACTAGGTATCTAAAAGCAGATAAAGGACATTTGTTCCCATGGCTGTTAACTCAATGACCCCTGGGACCCCAATAGCCTCCCAGCCTAAATCATATATATTTTAATGAAAATTTGCAAATTAGATTAGCTTAATTTGACCACATCTGCCTTTTTAAACAAAGGAAATTACCATTTTAATAGGAATACCGGCTATTTGTCTAAAGAAGAAAGGTCCTATGAGGTCTGCTTTGCCTGTTCTATTTCCATTTTTTTAAAAGAGAAAAAGGAGACAGTGGGGCACATGACAGCACAGCTAAGGTTCGAAAAGAAAAGCGCACAGTGGTTCCCTTACTGAGCACTACAAAGAGGCGGAGGCACATTCTGGGGATTCCCCACCTCTGCAGATATTCTCAGCTTCCACAGACAACAATGAGATACACTGCCTGGCTCAATTTCCTTCGGGAAGTCCAAGCTGAGTCCCTTCTGTGCGCCAATCATGGGGTCAGGGCTGGAATTCAGCAACATCAAGGTACTCCCCCAAGGAGAGGTACAGAAAAGAAGCCAGAGTCACCAATCTGAACCAAGGCAAGAAGTTGAAAGAGCCAGCAGGGGATGCAGATGAGTGCTCCAGGCCAAAGGGTACAGAGGAGGGTGTGGCTGGACGAGGCTGAAGCACCCCAGTAGGAACCCCAACATGAAGGGCAACCAGTGATTTGGGCCACTTTTGGAAGAGCAGACTATCCTGAGGTACAGTGGAGGTTTTATTTCCAGAAGGTTCTCTGGGTCCCAGGTCAGAAGCAGGTAGCTGCTTTACAGCAATGATTGCACTAATCCCTAACCTCAGAGTCACTCAGGGTGTCCATAGGGAACTTTTGTGCCTTTCTCCTTTCTTGCCTCATGGTTAATTTCTCTTCTGCTGATTCTGAATCCTGGTCCTTCATGTTTTTCTCCTGGGACAGGGTCCTTCGATCCTTCTCTCTCTGAGCATTCTCAGTTATCCCCAAAAGGCCTCTCCTTCCTCCACTCACTCATGCACACAGTGCCTTCTCTCTTGCTCTGCTGCCCCACAGAGATCTTGACCTCAGATGCCAAATTCCCTGAGTGCAGCCTTTGAGCCTGGCACCTCCTGCCCTCCACCTGATTCTGTGACTTTCTTTTCCTTGGCTCCACTGAAATTCCTCTTCAAAGGCCCCACCAACCTCCCACTGCCTAGCCGTGGGAGCCTTCTCACTCTCTTCCTCATGGCTTCACCCACTCTTGACTCTGCTCCATTCCTCCATCTTGAAACATTTTCTTTAATCTGGAAAAACAATTCAACTCCATGCACATTTTCCATCTACCTTTCAAGTCACTCCTATGCTGGCTCAGCTTTCTTTTCACAAATGTAAACTGGCCTCTATCTCCACTACCTGCCTCCTCTGCTCTTCACCCTTTTCTTTCCCTGGGACAGAATCCACCAGCCCAGGGCATTCCCGCTGCTGCCATGCACAACCCAAAGGCATTCAACTGCCCAGTGTGCAACTTCCACCCCATCTCAGCTCTTTCAAACCCCAACACTCAAAAGCTACCTAGTGTTGCTAATCCTGTCCAGAACACTACTCAGATAGGACTAGGATGCTGAGTCATTTTTTACAACTTACCTCTTTTTCTCTTCATTCCTATAAACTATGATCAATTCTCAGCACATTTCCTCAGTGGTATCTTCTGCTAACTGGGATGACTCCTGAAATTCTGAAAGCACACAGGCTCCAGTGAAAGAGTGATGGCCACTGGACCATTCTGTGATTTTGGTCAAGCTGCTTAATTATTACGCTTCAGTTTAGCAGTCTGTAAAACAGAGAGAGTACTGTTCTGAGGATTATAAATACTAGCACAAAATGTTTGGAATAGTACCTAGCATCCAGTAAGAATTCAATGCACGAAAGCCACAAGAATAAATCCAATTATTCTGGCCCATCCCTTCCTTTTCATTTCCTTTTACTTCTAGGCCCATGCTTCGGTTACTTCAATACATTCTGACTTGTCTCCTCACCCCAGCCTCTATTTAATTAAATGCATCCCACATATCACTTTTGGAATTACATTTCAAGGCTCTACTCTTACTGCATCACACCCATTACTGACAAGAAAAAAACTCTCTCCTACATATAATGCCTTTCACTATATACTTTGCTTCCGGCAGACGGGTTGACCTATCCCCGAGATCCAGCACTGCCTCCCAATTTTGTGAAAACAAACCCTGTGTATGGTGAGCCATTATGGTGAGCCTTGACATGGGCATAGCCATGGTTGAATTTTGAGTCACCCCGCTGGCATGGACGTGCTGTAGCCCATGACAACGGGCTGGTTCAACTGGTGGTCTGACCTGTTGCCTAGCAAATGTAGCCCATAATACTTGTAGAACCTTGTGACCTTTCCAGTCTGCTACACCCTGTTTGTACTTTACCTTGTGACCTTTCCAGTCTGCTACACCCTGTTTGTACTTTACCTTGTGACCGTTCCAGTCTGCTACACCCTGTTTGTACTTTTGGTTTCAGTTTTAGCCTATATATACCCCACCCTGAAAAATAAACGGGGCTTTGCTGCGGTAGAGCATGAGCCTGGAACTAAGTTTGTGAAACTGCTCTCCTGTTGTTCTTCCCTCCAGTTTGGGACCTGCTGGCAGGATTCTGACGTTGCGGCTCGCGACACCTGTGCCTAAAGTACCAACTTCTGCAGGCACATAACAGAATCTAGACAGTGACGAGGTAAGGAAATTAGAATGTATACTGAAACAGATTGTTATGGCTTATATATACATGTCCTCCAAAGCCTCATGTGCTTAAAGGTGGGGCTCTTGGAAAATAACGGTATCATGGGGGCTTATTGCTGACAAGCTGTCGGAGCTAGTATCTGGTTAGAAGAGGCTGGTCACTGGGGCAGGGCCAGAAAGGGTTTTTCTTCTGCCCTAGCTATTCCCTTCATTCTCTCTGCATCCCAGCTGCCATGCTATATGAGCAGCTTTTCCTCTCCAACGCCCCTCTGCCACGCAATCCTGTCTTGAAGCCAGCTGACTACGGACTGAAATTGAAACCTTTACAACTATGAACCAAAATAAGTTGTAAGTGTCTGGTATTGTGATGAGACAAGTGACTAAGACACAGATCAAGGCATTAAAGGCCCCTATTTTTCACCCCTCCCTGTATATTCCTTTACCACACCATCTTGTGATGGCAGTCACACTTTGCCCCTATATGACTTGCTAACAGATATAACACAAACAGAGGCTTCAAAAAGCACCTAAGAATTTCAGGTTCACCTCTTGTGCCTCAGCCATTGCTATGAGAACATGTCTGAGATGGCAGCTGAGAGATGAGCCACATGGAGCTGTCCAGCAGAGGCTATTCTACATCAGATGACAGCTAGTAGATCCACAGATATGCCACAAAACCAGCCAGATCAGTCAACCTCAGCTAACTACAGATATGAATGCTTGTTGTGGTAGGTCAGTGAGATTCTGTGGTGGTTGATACAAACAATAAATGACTCACAATACATTTCAGAGAGAAAGTCACAGACAACAGAACAGTGACACAGAACATGGCCTCAACTCTCTTGTGTGTGCTTGTATGAACAGTAGATATCACTACTGCAATTACAAATTAATAACTATTCATCTAATGCCTATCTTAAAAGATAACGTCCTTGAAAAACCATATCTGCTTCCTTTATTACCATAGACTTAAGCAACTAGCTCAAGGCCAGAAACATATATTCTAAATGAATACTATCAAGTGAATAATATGAGTGAATTTTTATGTACATGGATGCATCACAAGATCTACATTTTCTATACCAAATAAGCAAAAAATTGTTATGACTAGATGCTTAAATAATGGACAGTATATGTTTCAGATTTGTTTTTCCATAAATAATGGTTTATTTTTCTACAACAAGGAAAAAAATCATATAATAAAATAATGAGTTACAGTAAATCCATCAAGGTAGAGATCCCTGGATGCGGGCAGGCTCTCTTGGTCAGCCAAATCCTAGGAAATACCTTCTTCTCCAAATTCTCAGTATGTACTGTCACTTATTATTATTATTTGCTTTTTATTGGCAAAAGTCTTGTTTCTATTAGTAGACTGTGAAACTCTTAATTACAGGAGTTTTGTCTCTATCCTTTGTATATATGACACTGTACCAGAGTAGTTAATGAGGAATTTTTAAAAATTTCATACATGACCATACCCATTTCTTGTGATAATTTAGGAAGGCACAAAGTGCTACAAGTAGTGATCTTATTGTACATTTTTTTTAAATGAGGCACAGTGAATTGCCTAGGAGCCTCAGGGGCAGAAGGTTTAAATCAGCACAAGGTTTAAATCAGACCTCAAATCTCTGCTCTTTATCCAGTGCTGTTGCCCCACCACTCTTAGGGCTGCTGGTGGCCACATGCACACCAGGATAAATTCTCAGGGCATGTATCATATTCATTTTTGATACTCAGTGCTTCCATGTATGTTCACTCAGCTGATCCAAAGAGAAAAAGAAGCTTCGCTTGGGGCCAACTCTTCTTGTCTCTTCACCAGAGACAAGTGTTATAAAGTCAAAGCTGGTCTTCAGATGACTTCTACAGCAGGAGGCACACTAAATCTTATAGATCATGAAGCCTTTAATCTGAGGGGCCATGAATGGGGCAATGAATGGGGCCCAGGGCATCCATTAGGCCTTGGAACTGTGTAAAAAATATTTGTGGGATATGTACATGTTTTCAATAGAGAGGGCAAATATTTAATCAACTACTTAAATGCAGTAAATAATCCAGCAAAGCTGAGGTCCACTAAGACGATGTAACTTCCCAATGGTGAACCTTGGTCAGTGGGCAGAGCCAGAGCCAGTTTCTTTGCTAAGGTCTTCTCTTCTTGGGAAACTTCCCAACATATAGCATGTTTATGCCAATGATGATCACAGAACTGTGTATTTCTGTAACTTAGAAGGATGGTCAGATAGATTTACAGCTCTATTGGATTTTGTTTTCTGCAAACCACAATATTTTGTAATGGTGAAATATTTCTGACATGATTGGATCCATTCCTTTAATTCATTGGTAATCCATACAGATGTCAGGCATGCCAAAGTAATTTCCCTCAAAATAGTATGTCAGCCATATGAATACCAGTCATCCCATCCGATCTCTGGAATTAAAAGCACATTTCCCTTCAGAAGGGAATAAAAACGCAGTCTTGACAAACAGGATGCATTTTCTCTGCTTTGGGATGAGCTGGCTTCCATCACCAAGCAAAGTCATGCACAGGATGAGTGATCCAAGCATGCGCATCTTCGCCACATCTCATCAACACCAAAGCTGGCACTCCAGCCCTGGTGACTCATCCCCAACTGACCATGTTTAATAACTAAAACTATCACCGATCTACCTGCCAAACTACATCCACTGCCACAGTATGCATGCACTGAAACAAAGGAGAACACAGGGCTATAGGGAGGAGAAGTGATTGATGCTGCAGAAATGATGTTCCTGCAATGTGGACTGTAAGAGATACAAGTCAACTCCTGCAAGGCCTTAGAGGTGCATTTTGAGAAGGTGAGAAATTCACCTCGATTTCAGAAGGCCTCTGAGGCCAGGCAGTATGCCCCTGAGAGGGTAGTTTGTGAAACTGTGTGACACTAAAGATACAGTGGAGACCCTAGAAGATTGGAGAAGCCATGAATGTGGATTATCTGAGGAAAGCAGTAAGGAATGAGCAAAGCTAGCCGAAGAGAGAAGCCCTACAAGTTGCAACCACATGCAGAATTACTGGGGCAGAGCCACCCACACCCTTTGGAATTCATATCTTGTCACAGACTACCTTGGATTCTAGACATAGAACTTCATAACTTTATGTTTTCCCTGTTGGAATTTGGGCTTGCTTTGGTCTCATTCTTCTCTATCTTCCTATTTGTACCTTTTGAAATGGTAATATTTATCTTATACCACTGTATGTTGGAAGTGTTTAACTTTCATTTGTTCAGGTGCTCCCAGCTAAAAGTTTGCCTTAAATCTCAGAGGAGACTTTGGACTTGGACTTTTCAGCAATGCTGAAACTTGTGAGTGTGGAAGAACCTTTCCCCAGAGGAGTGTGGCCAGGCCTACTCAAAGGAATATGGTAGAGGGAGGAGACTTCTAAAAAATCAAGAAAGATAACATGCCACCTAAGAGTTTCTAGATATGCATGTATTGTTCTAGCACTGTTCTATAGCATAGATTGTACCCAATCAAGCTGTACTATGTTGGTATGTTACCATTTATGGGAGACAAAGACACAAAAATTGTTTAAAAGGCAAAACCTTGATTTCTTCAGGGCTCAGGCTTTTGAGAATTAATACACTAAGCCTTGTGCTGGCACAAATAAAACACTACTTCCTAGAAAAAGTCTCAGTGTCCTGTCTCTCTCTCAGAGAATCCTGCTACATTAGGACTTTGGCTACTCTTAAAGATGGACTAAATACCTTTTGAAAAGGGATAGGCGTGAGTCTATTGGGGCCAAGGGTAGAACGTTATGCCTTGTATCTACCTGTCCCCACAAAGCCTTATGCAGTCATAGTTGGGCTGTTTTGGAGGTGACTGGATCTAGTGTGCATGATGCTGGGATTGAGGATGTGATGTTGGGATTGATTCACAGTTTAATACTAGGATTAAGGCTGCCCCAGTCTGGGTGTGAGTGCTACCCACCATAAGGGCAGGTAGCCTGGACAGAATATAAGATACAGAAGAAGGGTTGCTGTTGTTGCTTGCTTGCTGCTAGTCACTTAATGCTTTGCTTCTTCACTACTTGCTGCCTTCTGCCTGCCATGAACTATTTCTCCCCTGCTATTCCACTCTGCCTTGGATCCAGCCAACAATGAACTGAAACCTCTATAAACTGTGAGTTACAATAAACCTTTCCTCCTTTAACTTTGGGTGTTGAGTATTTTGTGAGAAAGACAGCACTTTTTCCCAAAGAAAAGCCTAGATAGGAATAGTTAATAAATATCACACACTTAGTTTTCTCCTAAAAGACCTCAATTGCCCCAACACTAACAGAAAGCTACATCTTAGTGACATCTATGTATAACTCTGAATATCTCCCGAAAATAAGCCACATTTCTCCACAGCTAGTGATACTCCTTCATTTTAGCAGTTTTGTCAAGGACTACTTCAGTGGAGACTTCTCAGCTCCAGTACTGAGAATGAGACAAAAGTTTTCAAACAACAAGGCCCAGATGCCAAATTGGATTTGGGCAAGCTCTGTCTCTCAGACTTACTCCACCAAAATACCTGGAGTACTACTTAATGAAAGAAACACAGAAAATACTTCCAGCAAGTGTAAAGGTATCTCAAAGGGATTCATTCAATTAGCATGGTATTACTCAAAGTGTGATACCTATAATGATGAAGATTTTCGGGAATACACACAGATTTTTTTAAAGTAACTTATGCTAGTGTATACTAAATTTGCTGCTTCTAGGGCATTATGACTTAAGACTAAGTTGGTGGGAAAGGGGAATTAATTTAAAGAAAAACTTTTTTTTTTTTTTTTTTGGTACCAGGGATCGAACTCGGATCCTTGCACTTGTGAGGCAGGCAGCAGAACCACTGAGCTAAATCCCCAGCCAAAGACAAACATTTTAAAAAATAAATTCAAGTGCCTGATAATGTTTCAGAATGAAGACAGTGGTATTCAGAAGTCTGGGAGACATACAATTGCTGCATCTGTAGCTACCACATGAACATACACATCTAGGTTGTAATGGGGGGACAGCTAACTTCTCTGGGCACCAACTCTGCTTCAGGAGGCTGTCATGAATCATCTCATTTAATTTTCATAACAACCCTATAAGGCAGAACTTAGTTGCTTCATTTTATAGTCAGGGGAGAAATACAGACATTATGTAGTCAACTACGGTAACATATTTATAATCCTAGGCACAATAAGTGAATCATCTGATCTGCAAATATAGCTGGACCAATTCACCCAAAGCTGAGTCCTTCAGTGGCCAGTTATCCCCCTTCTGGCAGCAGACTGAGAATGTATTGTAACACTAAGAATTTTCTCCGCCTGGAGCCATACACTACAAATATAGTGAATTCTTTAAAACATTTTCCACCGCCTGCCTCGCAAGTGCAAGGACCCAAGTTCAATCCCCAGTATTAAAAAAAAAACAAAAAAGTTTCACATCTGTCAACATCTCAACAGCTACCTATGGTATTACTTTCATTTGACAAATGAAGAAAACAGGGCCCAGAGATATTGAGCAAAATGCCCCAGTGAGAGAGAAACAGAGGCAGAATCAGAACTGAGATTTCTAGATTCTTGGTCTATACACCCAAAGTTCTGCTCTGCAATTCTTTTACTATCCTGGTCAGAGATCCAGAGCTTTTCTAAGGAGTTTCTTTGGAAAATGGGGTGCAAGGAAGCTGCATGGATAGCTTGACACCTAGAACAACAGTGGCATCACATCCAGTAAGGGCCAGCTGACTCCTGTGGGGGCTTGAAGCTGCATTCTTAAGACGTGAAGAGTTTCAAGAACTGAAAGGAACCATGCCCACGCTTGTCTGTGTTGTGACAACTCCACAAGGCACATGTCCTGATACAGGTGGTTATGAACTGCTTGCTGCCACCTCCTGGAGACTCACATCTGAGATATACATATAGTTGCAGTTATCCATCTACTCTTAGCTTTGCTGCTTTGCCATTCAGCCTTAAGGGAAGTCAGGTTTATTCTCTGCCCTTTTTCTTACCACTATCTCTTCCTTTTTCTTGTTATTATTGGGTCAAATTGTATATGCTCTTCATCCATCTACTTCTAAGCTTTTCCAGTTGTGCATACAGGCTCTAGAGAGAGACTCCCTAAGATCATTTCAGTACCCAACTTTGGCTAAGTTACTTTTCTTCTTTGATATTCTATTTCTCCTCCAAAAAGTGAGAATAGCATTAACAGCTACAACTCAGGGCTGTGATGGGTCCAATTAAGTTCACCTTGTGAATCCTCTCACCTAACTTTCTTACACATCCTTCAAGGCTCAGATCAGACATCACTTGCTCCAGGAGGCTTTCTTGGTTGTACCTACCCTTCTGCCCACAAAGGCTGGTATTACACTCTAGAATCTCAGTAAATATGTATTAAGTGCCTATTTGATGAGAATTTCCCAAAGCAAAGAGAATCATAAGAATCTAAAAGGAGGGAAATAAATTACCAGAATGCCAATGACAGAATCTCTCTTGTTTAGCCTAGAGAGCCTGAACAGGACCCTCTCTCAGCACCAGCTCATGGCATACTGGTGTCTGCCTGTATTGCCAATGTATAAGTCTATTCCTCCAGCTGAAAAGACTTTCAGGGAGTCTGGCTTTCATGCCTGACATTTCTGGATATGTGCAACCTTAGTGAGGCAGCCTTGTTAGCTGATGGGTTGCAACAAGCTGGCACCATGACAGTAACTTGTGCCTTTAAAATAATTGGTACCTGGAGACTGCTTGGTGCAACATAAAGCAGCTGAGGTAGGTTCCCATCAACCCAGGAGATGGGCCAAGAGAAACTGAACTGCAACCCTTGTGCCCTGTTTCCCCAGGAAAAGCAGAATTTAATGTGATTGTATCTGGCATTAAGTAATGTATCTGGCCTTGGGTCATTAACTTATATGGCTCACAAAAACACAGTAACAAATCTGAGAAATTTGTTTAATTTATCTCCCTGCCCCAATCCCTTCAAGCAGTTACTGATAGGGTATGCAGAACACATTCTTCTCTCAGGAAGACAGAAACAAATCTTTGGGGGAATTATGGAAGTAAATAAAGCAGGAGTCACCCAGAGACCACAGCTAAACAAATACTCAACAAATCTAATTGATTATCTAATTTGAAAATTTAGCAGATTAACAGGGTTTTATGGCAATTTTATGGATAATATTTCCATAATTTCTTCCTAGTTAACAGATCGATAAAATCTAATACTGTGGCACTTGTTTATTATTGAAAATGAATGAGCTGTATGAAAATTACTTTATGAAAGATTCCAAGTACACCAATCTGTGATAACCTGCTGTCCACAGATGGGGAAGAGAAACCAACCCAATAGGTATAATATGCATTAACCCACTTGGCTTTTCCAAAAGTCCCACAATGCAGGCAGCTAGAGAAAACTGAAAGGGCCAGAACTTTTAGCCAAATAAATCAGATAGAGGAGAACCATCTGCAAGCCAATGATGCCATTCTAAAGGGTGCACAATGAAAGGCAGATACAATGCAAATCACCTGAAAGATATTTACTTGACATTTACATTTTAGTCAGGCTTTATTCCTCCTGAAAATTCTGTTTTTCTGAGTCACATCAACCCATGAAGAGTGGTAAAAGCAATGCCAGAAAAGGTTTGAAATATGCCAAAAGTGGGGACACCAAGGAAAGATTGTAAAATGTAACCATGAATGATGACTAATTCTGAGGACTAAGCACAGTATGTAGCAAGATTTTGTAAGCACGACTGCACTTAATTCTAACATACTTTCCAGGGACATCCAGGGCCCTTACTGCTTACTGCTAGCTATATTTGCCTCTTCATTGTTTTTAACCACTTTACTAAGGTTTGATTGACATGCAAAAAGCTGTACATATTTTAATATATGCATCTTAAGTCTACAGTTAAGTATATAGTCATGAAATCAATCATGTACTATTAATATATTGCCTCTTGAAGTATCAAAAAAGACCTGTGACCTTGATTCCACCAAAGAAAATAGTTATTCCCTGCAAAACTCTGCAAATGCCACCATTATTACCAAAGTCTCCAACCATGTGAGCAGGCAAATCTCAAGGACAGGCACAGCCTAAGGTGACTAGATAATTTACACTGTAAAGAGAAGACCCCAGGAACAGCAGAGGAAAGTGCTCTCCAATTTGTATATAAAACACTGATGTAATTGAGATGTTTATTATGAAATTATTTTTTATTGGAGGATAAAGAAACCACTAGGCTTGTAAATTCTGGGAGAATTTGACACCTGACTCACCATCTCTAATGTCAATATTTTCTGAAAATCAACAGAACTACTTTTCCACCTCTCAGTGTTTTCTGGCCCTGAAGCAGGTCTCATCCACTTACCTGCAAATAAGCTGACTCTTCTGTAAGGCCTGGTTTCCCGAAGATAGGCTGTTGTCCCCCTGCCTTCTGAAGCAGCCAGCCCAACATCGCAAGATTGGTCACGGGCCCTGCAGCATCTCACCAGCTCAGTTGACCACAGCCCACACCATGAAGGACGGCATTGTTCCATGTACACCCTCCATACAGGCCTATTCTTTGTGCCTATCCCTACAGCCAGCAAATACACCTCACCAGCTGATGACAGCTGGTTCCCAGGACTTTGCTTAAGCAAAGGCCTTGTTACAATCGGAGGCTTCAGTGAGAAGGGGCTCAGACCAGGATTGTGTGGAAAGAGTCATAAATGGACAAGTAGACCAATGAAAACAGCCAGGAAGCTACACAGAATCCCTATCCACTCCTGTGCCTCAGAGCTGACTACTCTTCCTCATCATCCCTGCCCAGCCAGGCTAGGATATCTTCAAAACACACTACATTTCCTAGACAAAGAGCCTTGGATTACAACATATCACTCCGCTTTGAGGGATCGAGGAAGAACTTTCAGCATAACTGGTCTTTGGGGTTTTACAGAGAGCTGTGGCAGGCTGATAGCCATGGTGGGCTTCAGACAGTCTTCTCATTGCACACAGGACACTCAGAAGATTAGAGGGTTCTTGAGGGGACTTAAGCCAAACAGCTGGGCATTGTATGGGCAAATACCCATGCCCAGAGGGTCCAAAGAACAGCTCGTGAGGAGGAGGGCATATGTGCATGACAGAGACAAGAAGGCCCAGCTCAACCAGTACAGGGAGGGTCCTCCACAGAACTTTCAGACTTGCCCACAGAGCACCCACCAGAAGCCCAGCCCAGTCCTGCCTTTGCTGGAATCAAAGTCAATGGACAGGTGCAAGGGCCAATTGCCCAACAGAGGCTACACAGCATTCTTGAACCAACTCCAAATTACAGCTGGGGCTGATAACCAGGGGCCTTTCCTACGGGTTCCAGTTGGTGGGGGAACAGCAGACTTAGCACCAGGATTGGTGGTCACCAGGTCCTACTTCATGGAAACATTTCAGCTGCAGAAAGACTAATAGTGCTCAAGAACTTCCATATATCTTCCCACTGTTCCAGCAGAGACGAGGGTTAGTAGGGTACAGGAAGGTGGGGAGAAATGACAGCTAAGATAAGCTAATGTTTAACTGCTAGTCATGTGCCAGTTTTATATATATCGAATCATTAAGTCTTCAGAATAACCCTATCCAGCAGATATTATTAACATTCTCATCTTGAAGTAGAGAAATGGAGTATCAGAAAGGTTACATAATTTACCAAATGTCAAACAGGTAGCATAGCACCAAGAGAAGTCTTCCTGTGTGCACACACATACGCAAACTCCCCACACGCTTCTTTCTTTCCTGCTTCTCTGTGGGTCTCTAAACCCCTTCCTTGTAGGAGAAATTTAAAGGTGCCTTCACTCAAGAGAAGTTTCCATTCCATCTGAGATCTCAAGATTTGAGCCACAGGCATCTTGGGGAAGAAAGGGGGTACTTTGAAATGGCACATACATTAGTGTTATCTTAGAGGTGTTTCTATCTCCCTCCACAGGAGCCATGAGAAGCCCCATCTGTTCATGAAGATTTCACCTTGAGGCCAGCGCTGAAAACCCAGAGAAGACAGGTTACAAGTGCAAAGCTGTCGTGTCTTGGAGAAAATAGATTCATTTATTTCAGTTCCCTTGAATCAAAAAGGTTTTCATTTGTTTCAGTAGAAGTGGTTAGGTCTCTCTTGGAAAAGCTTTTAGGAAAATGTACAACCATTGTAGATATTCTAGTTCATGTGAGATTAATGTACTTACAGGCATCAGAACAAAACAGACTTGCAAAATGAATTTCTGGAAGAAAGCATTTCACAGACTTGAATTTAGTCAGCAGTTTTAAATGTCACTTTTTATTGACAACCATCTGGAGTAGGAATGAGGTGTGTTTTATGCTGCTTGGCCGAGATGATGGTTGCCCTGTATTATTTCATGTTGGACTATAATTAATTCTCCATTAGTAAGTATAAGTGGAAGTGGAATCCACACCATGTAGGACACCACAGTGTCATTGCTGGCTCTCAGAAGCAGTCACAGGGGTCAGACCTTAACCTATTCCCAGGCCCTGTGAGAAACAAGACACAACTGTAACTAAGGCAGCATTGTGAACATTTTGGAATCTTGTTGTAATTCACTGAATTGGGGAAAAATATCTGAACCCCAAAAGGAATTGCTACTGCAAATCTGAAAAATCAGCAAAAGTTTATTTCCAAGGCCACTGATTCATATCTAGAGAACAGCTGTGAATCATACAGTGCAGGTGAGAGGCACCAACAAAACTCCTGGAGGTTCTCCTAGCTGGGTTCTCCTCCTAACTGTGAGCTATGGCCACACAGACAGGGACCCTGTTAGAAATGCTGATGAGCGACATCACAGAGCTGTGGAGGACCTCACAGGTTCTCCAAATTGGCTCATCTCATGGATGATAATGGCAAAGCCCAAAGTGTGCCTAAGGTTACAAGGCTTGATGACTTTAGAGGTAGAACCGCCACACTCTTCCCCTGGCTTCCTTCCCTCTCCGTTTGCTCTGTACTCTGTTTAACATATATGCTGCCACCTGTCTGCTACAGGAGATCAAGCCCATGAGGTCTGACATGTTCAAGAAACAGCAAGTGGGCAAGCGTGGCTGGATCAGAGTGAGAAGGGGTCCAGCTGAGAGAAGAAACAAGAGGCCCAAGCATGACGGCCCTTGGGGACAGTGCGAAGGCTTTGGCTTTTCCTCACGGAGACATAGGAAGCCACAGCAAGGTTCTGAGCAGAGGAATGATATGCTCCTGCATCTTTTAAAAAAACCAATTTGAGGGTGAAGGGAGGGCAGGGACAAGGAGAAAAAATGAGAACCAAGACCATCTCTCATGTAAAGGTACAGGAATGAATGCAACTGTACTGTATATATAAAATGTACCAATATACTCAATAAAAGAAAAAAACCAATTTGACTGGTATGCTGAGCATATAGAGGGGTGGGGAAGCCATAAAGACACAGGCAGAAGCCAGCAGACATGTTGGAAGATCTGCACTAACCCAGATGCCAGAACTTCACCTGAGCCAGAATGGGTCTGACAGAGCTGGTGAGCAGAAGTCACAAGGCACATCTATACTCAGAACTCTGGGCCTGGAGAGCCAAATTCAAATGCCATGAGATGCCAAACTGACAATTTTAAAAAGGAAAGCAGATCAGGTACAAACAAAGGGTGCATAAAGAAGGCACAGCCACTCCCAGCAACTACTGCATGTCTCTATAGGAAGCACGGGCCAAAAGTCCCATGTGTGACGATCATCACAGAGAAAAAGGAAATTCACAGGTATGAGTTTTTGTATTTTCTAATTTTAATGTTAACAACAGAGGCATAATATATTTTTCCATGTACTGTAAAAGGCCAAACAAAACACATCTGCAAACCAGATTAAACCTGTGGGCTCGGCACCCCTGCTGTTCCTGTACTGATAGTCACTTAAAATCTGGCCTATTAATATATGAAGAGTTACACACCATCAGCACTACCCACAAAATTATACTCCCACGTGCTTGTGATCTTCATCTTCAAGAACACTCTACTGCTCACTTGAGTCTGGACACTGAGGAAGCAAACATTTCAAGAGAAGCCAGCAGGCTGAGTTCCTTCCAGGTGATACAGTTAATATTTAACAATTAGGAAAATAAAGATAACATATTGTGTCAAAGATACAGGGAAGCTTTGGTCAACCATGGTGCTAGAAGTTTTCCTCAAAACCCACACCTAAGAATAGCCTGTTATACATAAGATCCTAACGATATAATTGACAATGTAAAATAGGAAGAAAGGGGCTAAAGGTGTAGAGAAAGTGGGAAGGGTAGGGGAAAGGTAATAAGGGAAAAGAAAAAAATATGAGAAAATGAAAAAATGGAAATAAAGTGTTTGTAAATGGGGAGGGGAGGAGGGGGTGAAGGGAGGACAGGGGTATGGGGAAAAAATGAGAACCAAGACCTGTCATGTAAAGGTACAAGATCCCAAGGATTAATGTAACTGTACTGTATACCTTAAATGTACCAATAAACTCAATGAGGGAAAAAAATAGACAAGCCTGTTACAAAGGGAAGGACGTAGAAATCAAAAGTTCTGCTGAACTGGAAAAGGCTGATGTCTAAATTCATCACTTTTAAATCAAGAGAGGGAAATCAACCCGAAATGATTTTGCAAGCATCCAAGGAAAGGAACAGGGACATCCCCTCACCCTTTCATATAATTACTGACAGCTCAAATAATGAGCTTATCTTAGCCTCATAAATCAGCTGAACTGCAAGCTATTCAGTCACTGGTGGCAGAGAAGTGCAATTCCTGAGACAAGGGCCAGAGGTGGGAGGTGTAAAACAAGAAGGGTGACCCTTTCTCCCAAGGGTCCTTCTGGAGGAAGCCCAAACCCAGGAAACTGAACCATCCCACAGACTTACTGCAATGGCCACATCCCCAGCTCTACCCACTAATCAGGCCCTGCCATCTGAAAAGAGTTTGTGGCGAGGCAGTGGTCTAATTCTGTCACCCCTCAATCCTGCATCCCCAGGGATGTTGCTGCTGTCCAGACCCTCGTCACAATCTGACTGAGAAGAGGTCTTCAGTGCTGAGAAGGTGAAATGAAAAGACACACACTTCCCACTTGAGGAGACAAACTTCTACAGAGGAGATTCACCACAGACAGATGCTTGCAGCTCAGGGCCCAGGCAGGCCGACAAAGGTGGCCTTGCACCAGGACAGTCACACCTAGTGATATGTGAAAGTGGTGTCCGCCCCTGGGGCTCCATGGTGGTACCAAACCTTTGAGTGCCAGAGTCACTCAAAGGAGAATATCAACGCTAGGGCTGAGGTGTCTGTCAATGAATGAGTAAGCATCCCAGCAGGAGCAGATAAGTGCCCTTGACATTGAAGGCAACGGACAGGGGCTTGAGGTAGAGCACACTCAGGCAGCTTTACCACATCAATACCTAATGGCTTACTGACTTACCCACTGGGCACCAGAGGGCTGTCACCACCAGCAGAAAGCCCACCTGGATTCAAAGCTCCTGCCTTCTACTCAAAGGTTTCCAAAGAAGACCAATGAGAAGGGCACTGTCTACATGCCAGGCACACATTTTTCTATTTAAGTCTCACAGTGACCTCAGGAATGGGTTCTATAAATAAGTTTAGTTAGATGCTGAGAGCACAAATCTGTCTTCAGATCCCAGCTCTTCTACTTTCCTGGTGAGTGGCCTTGGGTCATTGTGCCCTGGTGTTCACATCTATAAAATGGGAAGAATAACAGTACCTGTCATATAGGATTTTAAAGAGGAATAAATGAAGCGCATTAAGAGTCTATGTTATGGTTTGGGTCTAGATGTCCCCCCAAAGCCTCATGTGGTCATAGGCTAGATCTAGAGTGTGTGAAGCTGGAATTGATTCATGGTGCAATGCTAGGCTCAGGGGCACTAGGATTAAGGGTGTGAGTGCACTAAGTAGTCTGAGTAAGATAAAAGGGGCAGGGAGATACTGTTAACTCTTGTTGCCTTTGCTACCTTGTGTGCACCATGTTGTTTCTACTCTGTGATGATTATTTGCCATCCCAGCCTCTTGGAGCCAACTGATTATTGACTGAAACTTCTATGAACTGTAAGCCAAACAAACCCCTTCCCCTCAAACTTTGGGTGTTGGTTATTCTGTCTCAGCAACAAGTAACTAACACAGTCTATGTGTGAAGGTTAGCTCTCACTAGCTTCTGCTATTATACCAATTTTACTTTGAGGACACTAATGCTTATAAAAGAAAAAAATTTGCCTAAGGACAAAAGCCTAGTAAGTGGCAGAGCTGGGTCTTGAACTGAGATCCTGCCCTTAGTACTATGATATTAACGGTATCCTGGGATGCTACTAAAATGTGAAATAAACTCAGGGAGAATTAACAGCTTCATTATACCAGTGCAATATACACGGGAGAAGGATATAATTTTATGGTGTGGAAAAGCAGATATAAGATCTTTATTTCAACTCCATCGCTGTCACTTTGAACCAGCGGCTATTTGGGGAGAATGAACAATTTCAGAGCAATTGATCTTTTTTCTCTAGAAAAAAGTGACAACACTGTGATATTTCTACATAAAGCTACATTTCACAATTGGGGACAAACATGGGAAAAGACAGGAGACAGAGAAAGGGAACTACTGAGAGGTTCAACCCGGAGGGCAAGATGTTATGTAAAAATCATACCTGCTCAGAACATGGGACAATGAGATTCATGTAGCTACTAGCTAGGTGTACCTGACAATGGGAGGTAGTGATTAGATTAGGAAACTAATAGTAGCATTAGGTAGGTACCCAGGGCAGCCTACATCCGGCCATCTCCTCCCCATCCCTCCCAAGGTTCCCGTAGAAAATATGATGAAAGCATTAAACACCACTTTCTTGAGGCCAGACCCCAACAAAAAACACCAGTGATTCAGGGTGAACCAAACAGATAGCTCCTATCTCCCAGCTTAATACAAAGGACCCCATTTTTTCCAGACACAAAGCTGGATCTCCAGTGTCTCTGCTCTGTGTGAAGGCACATGTCACTGAACACCTCCCAGATCAGAGAAAATGGAGTCAGAGAGTCAGAGAACATCAGAAACTTCTATCAGGCCTCATCACTCCAGGCTCACTGGTCCCATAGTGCTTACAATGACATGCAAAGTCCTGCTGCCAAGCTGCAAGGCCCTGCAGAGTCTGTGCCTGCCTCTCTCCTCACTCACTGGTTACAGCCACATGGGTCCCTGTGCAGCTGCTGCCACAGGCCAACCTCTGAACTACCCACAAGTCTCTGCAGATGCTATTTCATCTCTCTGGCAGGTTATTTCACTGCAGTATGATTTATGTCCTTCATAGCACTTACCACTATCTGGAAATAGATGATTTATTGTTTTCTGGCTTATTGTCTGTCAGTTTGCTCTACTCAACCAAAAAGCCCATGAGGACAAAGGCCCTAACTGTGTAACTCAGTGCTGTGTCCTCAGAACTCACCATGAATGACAAGAGGCAGAAGCTGCTAGGTCTCCCCCAACTCCACCAGTGACTGTGACAACTGAATGTAACAGAGTGGGCTGGGAGGGAAGACACACATGTATGTATCACATGGGCTCAACCATGTTCCACAGCCTACTGATGCTAAAGAAGAGAGAAGAAAGCCACATCCCTGTGTTGTAACCACTTTGTAAGCTCCATCTCTGGAACACAATGTTTCCTAAGTGCTCTTGACCTTGGAACACAGCCTCCATTTTCCTCCTTCTTTTTTTTTGTTTTTTGTTTTTGGTACCGGGGATTGAACTCGGGTCCTTGCTCTTGCAAGGCAAGCCACCAAACCACTGAGCTAAATCCCCGGCCCTCATTTTCCTCCTTCTGAGTGATAACTATCTTTTTACCTTTGAGCATAACCTGTCCTTCAGTAAAAACAAGGGAACAAGCAAGGACTTTTAAACTCCTACTTGTGACCAGCACAGAATTAAGTTACTTATCCCCTATGGACCCCTCTTGCCTTATTTTGTATACTATGTAACTTTTTAAGGTCACTTGTACTTTGAATGTTTTCAGAAATATTTTATGTCATGGCAAAGGATACCAGCCTCCACCAAGAACTGATTACCCTGGAAAGCTGAGAAAGAAGTCAAAGAGAGAAAGTGGGTTCCCACCAAGACAGATTAGGAACATTTCAGCTTGGTCTCTTACTAGCTGTGGGACCTTGATCAATTTTCTCCTCCTCTATGAGCCTCAGCTTCCTCAACTAAAAATCTAGGAGGACAATTCTACCATCTTCATTGGGTGGGTAAGAGGAAGGACATGTATAATTTATACTTCATGAAGT